TTTTTCACATTCTGTCTCTCACAGTTGAAGTGTACCTCTGGTGCAAATTACTGACCTCTGTCATCATTTTAGGTGGGGGAACTTGCACAATCGGTGTCTGACTAAATACTTTTTTGCCCCACTGTATATGTGTCTACATTACTTGTGTGCCACAGCTTGCTTACCTCTTCTCCTCCATCTATAGATGAAGGACAATCTCTCCTTTAAGTCATCAGACAGTGATGTCAGTGATGTCTCAGCTATGTCCAACGCCTCTGACACTCAATCTGTCCACAAGATCGGGTAAGCAGGAATCCATTCTTGGATGACAAGAGAGAATAAAGTGTCCATGATTTCTAGACAGAATCTCAGCTTCTGATTGGTTGGAGCACACTGGTATTTCTGGCTCCTGTTTCTCTGACCTTTCAGTGGAAGTCTTAGCTTTCTGAATCCATGCAGGGATTTCAGTAATATGTAAGAGTTTGCTCTGCAGCTGCTCTCTGTGGGCACGCATTTCTCTGAATCTTTTCATCAGATTATGAATCACAGATGATGGCATCCAATGTTTTATTGCTCTCTTCTAATGTGGGGTTGTAGGGATTTTTTTTCTCAAAGTAATAATATATTTTTAACGGTAAGGTGTTGACTTTGTCTACTGATCAGAAAGATAACTAAAGCAACATGAAAATTCACTTTTATGAAACAGAGGGCAAAAGGAAAAGAAAATGGCAACAAACAAGTATTTTTTTAAATATGTTTGTGGCTTTTAGGTAAAAGTATTTAGAACATATTCCATCTTTGTGCTGTTTCACTTGGTAAACTGTTTACTGCTAGATGCCAGCTTGTTTCTTCCACTGTGCAGGTAACAAACTGCACAGTGTGTTTCCTGCTGCAGGTGGGTCTAGGGCATACCCCCAAGTAGACACAGAAACTGTATTTTGTCTGAAAGAATTGCTGTGTATTTAAGTCAACACACTTAAAATGTTCACCTCTTTATCTGCTCTCAGACAGGAATTGAAATTTTTACTTTCTACCAGACTCCATTTATAAGAACAGAAGGTTTAGCTCATAGGGCAGGTGACCCTCTTTGTCTATTGCTGCATCTGCTGATTATTCAGTTTGTGTTAATGTGTGAATTTGGTGTTAATGGGTCAGTGTGGATTAGAATCCCTGTTAAAAACACAAAAATTCACACAAAATGACCAGAAATGTTTTCTGTGAGGTCAGATTGCTGGTTTTAAGATTGTCAGGTTGCTAAATAGAGTCTAGAGGATTGTATTTGTTAATACAGGTAGTTTCTCAAAATTTTCAGTATTGTCACAAATGGAAATGAAATATTAGGTGATATTTGAAACACATGTCAACTTATGTGATTGTTGGAGTCAGAAAGGAATAATACAGAGTAAACTATATTAAAATCAACCGCTCACTCTCATCCTGTGTACAATCACAGTTCACGATCATAAGCATGTGTCCTGTAAATCCTCCCACAACACATCATTCTGAATGTTTAACTCTGCTGCTGGTTTCAAATCAGTGAAAATACATAATGCTTAGTCCCGTTTTTGTTAGCATGTGTTACCTTCACCATGGGGTGGTTGTAGCTCAGAAGGTCGAGTAGGTCACCTACTTATTGGAAGGTTGTTATATACGGTAAAGCACTTTGAGTGCTCAGGTAAATTAGAAAAGCACTACATAAGAACCAGTCCATTTACCATTTACCATTCTGCATGATTCTGTCTGCATGCTACTCTTCTCTTCTCATATTGGCTGCCACAGTCTGATTGAATGTCTGGAGGGCCAGTCAGCAGAGCTGGGGGTGGGCTCGCAGGGAACAGAGGAAATAGTGGGGGCATCAGAAGGCGGGAATACACTGCAGAAGAGCAACTCAGTGGAAGAAGGGGAGGAGGAGCCTGAGCCTTCAAAGTAAGAAATTAACAGATGACCTCCTGTTGGAATCAGTTGTCATAGCAACAGCTGCCTCACTACCCATTTCCTTTTCCTCTCTGTGCTATTGTGATGTGTTTGTGCCCTGCCTCTTGTGTTTTGGCCCTTTTCCCTCACTTATTATTGTGGTGGTCCTTCCTCCTGCAGGGTGTCTGCAGCTGCCACTCCTCTCACCAAGTCGTCAAGTGTCGGTGGTGAGATTTGCTCATTGGGGAGAAACGATGATGACGATGATGACAAGAAGCGACGCTCAAGCTTCGGTGCAAGGATGATGGGGATGGTTGGACTTGGAAAGAAGAGTCAGAGTGCCTCCCAGCTCAACCCAGAGGGTCAGTCCTAGTTTAACCATTAAAAAATATAACCTCAATTCTTGCTGTTTTTCTTATATTTCATGGACTCTGCCATAAACAAAGTTTTCTCTGAATTGAATCTTCAGACATACAGTGTGTTTTAGCCAAACTGGGAATCTGAGTAGCATTGGAAGAGTGTCTCAATAAAAACTCACTATCAGAATGAAAATCCAAAGAGGAACATCAGCCAAAAAATAAACTATGACCAAATGAGTTAGGTACTAACAAGCAACTGAGCAAACATATTACGGAACCAGTTGAACCAGTGAAAACAGAACAGAACAGAACCAATATGAGTCACAGAGCACCCTGTCCAGGGCTCTGATTAGTTTCTGGCTGTTTATGCTCTTGTAACAACTTATTCTGCTTCTTTTCTCTTTCTTCTTCCATCCTTACAGAGGAAGAGAAGAAGAAGAAGGTGGTGAGACTTCCCGTTCAGAGAAGTGTTGAAACCGGTTTGGCCATCGAGTTTAAAGCTCGTTTCACCAGACAGCTGAGTCGAGACCCAGATGCCGAGGACCCAAAACCTGGAGCGTACGAATCACTCCTCTTTCTACTCTTTTTATCTTGTATTCTCTGTTTAGTTAAACTTTATTCATACAGCACTCATTTAAAGCAAGGGTTTTCCTAAAGTACTTTATGATAGCAATAATCTGTGATAGCAGAGGGAAAAACTCAACAATGACACAACCCCCTGTGAACAATCACTTGGTAACAGCAGGGAAGAAAAACCACATTTTAACAGGAAGAAACCTCTAGCAGAACCAGGTTCGGGGAGAGGCAGCCATCTGCTATGACCTTTTGGAGTGAAGGGAGGACAAAAGACAAACTAAGGGAGAGGGAAGACTAAATATGATGTGCTGCACCTGTGCTATATAAACACAGAGGAGCTAGAACAAAGTGGAATGAAGGCTTCTTGTTTTCACTCAGTATTGTTTAGATGAAAGAAGGCAGTTCTACATAGTTACAGTTCTACTTCTACTTTTTTCTCTCTGAACTTTGAATTTAGTTTTTCCTGAGTGCAATTTTTAACCTCCTTTTTTAATTGCTCATTTTGTCACTCCCTCTGTTTTTAGTCTTCCCCTTCACCCTTTTCCCTATTTTTTTCTACCCCTCAATCTGTCAATCCCCTTTAATGTGTATTTATTCTCACATTGAACTTAAACACTTCCCATTTCCCTGGGGTTGCCATCTAACATGTCGGATATTTTCTTTTTCTTTTTTTCTTTCTGTCTGGTCAGGCTTATATTTCCAGGAGTAAAACTTGCATCAGACAAACAGTTCACTGGTTTCCTTGAAGGATTAGGCCCCGCCCAGCTGGCTGGACGGCAGACATTGGCCACGCCCCCCATGGGTTAGCATGAATAAAAATGTCATTGTTTTTATGTATTTCAACCTACCAACATACAAACTCATTAATTCAGATTTATGTAATCTGGACATATGTGTGTATTAATAAATCATATTAAAATACAATACCACTTTCTGCCCATGAAAGCGTGCGGTTGTGTTTCAGTAAAATCTCTCCTCTGATTGGCTTTCTTTTGGTTAGGTGACATCCAGATCGGGATGGTGTACAGGAAGGAGCGTCTGGACGTGGAGGTTATCCGAGCCCGGGGGCTTGTGGGTAAACAAGGCAACAAGAACACTCCAGGTGACAAAGCTATACACAATGCACACTTGACTACAAATACACTCTACCTAGTACACTCTAGTGTAAGAACGTGAACTTAATCAGTTCCTCCATGCTGCTCTCAGCTCTCTCCTGCCTCGTGTATTGTATCTCATTCAGTCTCTCATCCAGATGAGAGCTGCTTTGTTACAACCTGAATTCTGTCTTCCAGCTGAGCTGTACAAAGAGCAAAAGATCCCAAACATGATTTACTCTCAGAACCTGACCTTTCACATACTCAAGCTCCGCATTAACTGTGTTACTTGTGGAAATGCTCACAATGCCATTGTTTACAAGGTGTTTATTAAAGTCAGTGTTAAATGTAAAGTCAGAACCTATATTAATCTGAGATACTTGGAGCATTGTGACAGATCTGAGAGAAGAAACTCCATGAACCTGAGCTGTGGTGATGCAGAGATGTGTGACTACACTTTTATTATGGACTCATTTCTGATTAATAAATCTGAAATAGTTTAGAAATATATACATTTTTTGGAGGTGTCTTGTATTGTGGCTCATGCAGTGCTGGAGTTCTTCATTCTTCCTCAAAGATGAACTGCTTTCTGCTCCTCATTAATAATATAAGGGCTTAGCTGAAAGCTAGCACAACTACTTGTGTTGTGCTAACAAGTAATATTAGGGCTTTTCAGTTTTACGCATCATCAGAAAATTAAAACCTCTTCGATGCTTTAATTTTCTCAGTAGCGCTCATTACTTTCATGTAATTTTTGGTCGCAAGTTTCTGTGTCAAGGTAATTCTTTTAATGTTTCTTCCAACTTTTCCAATCATTCCACATTTTTTCCAATGTGGAATTATTGAACAGCATACATCTTTAATATATTTTGGATTTTTAATAATCCACACAGACAGAAAATTGCAACTTAGGAAGTTGCAACCCAACCAAATGCTTTTGTTAGCCATCATTACGCTTCTAGCATAATTCTGGATGCATATTTGGCTGCTCATCTTTGCAGAATTCCCTTAAATTAGCTGGTTTCCTGGCACAGGCTCGACCTTTAAGCGAAGTCCACAAATTTTCACACTTGAATACTACTGCACACAACCATCGCAGTACAAAGGTTTAGTAGTCATGGGTTATGATCTGTGAAACAGCTCGGGGGTGTGTGTGTGTGTGTGTGTGTGTGTGTGTGTGTGTGCGTGTGTGTGTTGCAGCTCCTTATGTGAAGGTGTATCTAATGGATAATGGAAAGTGTCTGTTGAAGAGAAGAACTCGTCTGGCAAGGAAAACCCTTGACCCTCTTTATCAGCAACAGCTGCAGTTTGAAGAAAACCCTGAGGGCAAAGTTCTACAGGTAATTATATATGTACTGTTACTGCAGGATGCCAGACAGCTGGACAGCACAGGATTACAGGACCCTGGGATCAGGGCCTGCAGTCCTTCTTTTGTTGCTCCAGCCTCTACACAAAGAGGCTGAAGCAACTCCACTCCTCCTCTGGCTAGCAGTCATAGCAATGTGTGTATGAAGAGGAATCTAGGATAGAATGTGGGTGGGGGGTTCTGAACGTCCAAGTTGAGTGGAGGAGGGGGTGTTAAGATTAATACTATTTGAGGAGGGACAACAGAGGGTTCACTATTGAACCTGTTGAAAAACAGATTCAGTTCACTGGCTCTGTCCAGACTGCCCCCGCAGCTGCTGATCACTTTGAGGCCGGTAATCAACTTCATCCCCCTCCACATGGCTTTGATGTTATTCAGTTGGCGTTTGGTCTCCCTGTATGTATATTTACACCTTCTCCGCCCTGCTTTCAGTTCATACTATGTGCTTTTTCGAGTAATCCTTGTTCCCAGAATTGAAGACCATCTACTTTGGCCTTCATTTCACTGGCGATCCTGCACTCTGGATACTCCTTCTGATGTCATACCTGCACTCAAAGCTCCATTCATATGACTAATGAGACCACCTGCTTTGGCACAACAGTGCAGCAATCATAAGTCAGAGCAAAAGCTGCCCCCCAGGGAGAGAGAGATGTGGTGTTTAGAAAAAATGCATCTCAGCTGTTCCAATACTCCTGACACACTCTTCTTCTGGCCACCGCATCTGTGGGGATGGTGTTTAGTCTGTGCTCTAGTGTCCTGATCACACTCAGTTTGTGCTCAAGTGGATGATGAGTACTGATCTGTATGTAATGGATTACAGTACACAATAACTTTTAAACTTCCCTTATTACTGATGGAAATCTCACAGTCTAAGCTGGCTAGCCTGTCATTTTCATATCCTCCATGGTGAACTTGATGTGTTTGTCCACTGAGGGTAACATAATCAGTGAATTATGGTACATCCTGAGATTTGATTTTAACCCAGGTGTATTCCACATACCTGAACTAATTACTTTGTCGTGTTCCATTGTAGGATAACAGAGCCCTCTTTTATATTTCTCCCATATAAAAGTTGGCCACAATAGATGAAATTGGGTAACTCATTGCATACCCATGTTTCTGCCTGTAGTAGTGAACATTGTATGTGACAATAACAACTGCTTCAGTCGCCATCTTCCTGTAACCACTACCTGGGTCTCGTTTCAGGGTTTCATAAGTATTTTTATCACAGTGAGTAGTGACAAAATTTTCACATGATAGTCTTTCAAGTTTAGCTAAACCGTGCACCAACCCTTATCTGCTGGTAGGATGATAATTTTGTCATTACTTCCCCTCCTCCGTACTGATGTTGGATGCTGGGGGCTTTGCATTGCTGAGACAGGCCGAAACTTTCGTCCACATCTGTAATATTGTTGCTTCGAATTGCTAATTCTGTGGCTGTGATCAGTTCCACTAGGGGGATTTGTCTTGGCATCACAGCAAAGTTCAAATCTTTTGCAAGGATGTTTTTCTCCGCTTGTGTGAGTTGTCAAATTGACAAGATTTTGATAACATTTTTTGTCAGAAATTGACAAATCTTTCACTGATTTGTCCACACCCTCAGTGTGGCATCCTTCTCTCTTCTGGCCGCTGAGGACATTCTGTGCTAGACGAGCCTTCTCAGTGAATTCAAACACCTCTCGAAGGGTATTCTCATAGTAACCATAGTAAGTCTTTGTCGGCTCTACTCCCCTTTTGATTTTAGCATGTTAGCATATCTTTCTAATGAACCTCAGAAAGATACGATTAATATCTACAACAATGAAGAAAACAGCAAAGAAAAAAAAATTATGGAAAATGCTGCAACACTCACAGTGTCATCTACAAAGAAAAAAAACACACCTTCATGTGTGTGATGTCACTAAGGATCTCCTCCTCTCCTCTCTCTGCAGATCATCGTCTGGGGTGACTACGGTCGGATGGACCATAAATCATTCATGGGCGCTGCCCAGATTCTATTGGATGATCTGGACCTGTCCAATATGGTAATTGGCTGGTTCAAACTGTTTCCTGCCACCTCATTAGTGGATCCTGCATTGGCGTCGTTGACCAATAAGGAGACAGAAGGTAGCAAGTCTTAGCATCAGGAGGCATGGCTGATTTGGTCATAGACACGTTACAGGATGGGCCCTAAAACAAAGTCTCAGAATCCTCTGCTGCTGCATGCTGCATGATGACATCACAGAGATGACAATTCATGATGATGTCACTAGGACGATGAGGAAGGTGCTATTCCTGATCCGCCCACTGCGGGGGGAGACACTCAACAAAGGATGCTGGGTAAAGAAAGGAGTGGCCATGTGACCTCCAGCTGCCAGCTAATCACAGCAGCTCCTTGGAAGTCATACGACTGTTAAAGACACGTCAGGAACCCACAAGATTGAGTTATGTGATAGTATTCATGGAGACACAGGAACATAGAGGGGGCTTCTTTATGTTTATGCATGGAATGACAAAAACATTAGAACATAAACTCCATCGAAGAAAAACACCACAACAACCAGTAAAATCATGAAAACGTGAAAACAAAAGAACATGAGAACCACAAACATGACAACATGTGAGAGCATGAAAATATGTAAGACCATGCCAGACTGTGAGAACATGAGAATGTTGTCTAAAACTTCAAAATAAAGATTCTTAAACAATCTCTGCGTTTCTGTTTAGGACATTATGATCAAGTTAGGTACATAACTCTGGTTTTACAAGGTTCTGATGATATTACTGAGAACACTGGTTCTGTGATTTTTACAAAGGTGACTGGATCTGTGAGCTTCTACACATTAAAATGTTTTGGGGTCTTTAAAAGTTCGCCTGTAGCTGACTCACTATTTCTGAAGCAAGAGTTCGTTAGGTTCTACAAGTTCTATTGCACCGCTGACCCTGGTGTTTCTAAAAGATCCTACTACTCTATGGGTAAATGCTACATAAACTGGTTCTTAAATGCTTTTCTACTGTACTTGAGCAATCAAAGCGCTTTCTGCAACATGCCCCATTCACACAAGCACTTTTTTCTTTGCTTGATTGCTTTCTATCTAACATTCACACGCCAATGCATCAGAGAGCAACTTGGGGTTAGTATCTTGCCCAATGATATTTGGCATGCAGACTAGAGCAGCCAATGATTGACTCACCTTCCAATTAGCAGGTGAGCTATAACCCATGTCTGTTATCTTTTCTGTATTCTCTCTGTTTACCTGTATGCAAAGTCATGGAGATGCAAAGTCATGATTTTTGGCTCCCTGGTGTTTGACTCGGATTAAAAGACTGGGTCAGCGTTCTCCATTTGGTGAACTGTTGTTGTGTTTTAGCTATGTGTAAATAAAACTGAACTGAATAGATAGCTGGAGTAGGAGTTCAGGTTTGGATCCAGCTGCATCCGGGTGAAGGATTTAAAGCATCGTGGGATGAGAGCCTTTACTGGTTAGCAAAACCGATTCTCACTGTGTTGCTATACACCTCTTGTGGTCTGATTTCACTAGCCACTTCTGGATCCAAACATGATATGTCATGTTCTGACTGAGGGATTTACATAAAAAAACTAAAACGGGCAATTCGACTAAAATTTCTGGCAAAAAAAATGAAGACCGAAACTAAACAATGTTTGTAGGATTACTTAATTTCGGGTACCTGGAATATAATGCTGTGCTACCTGGTGATTAGCTACAAAGTAATGGTACTTATTCAAATCTTAGAAAGCGTCGTAGTCGTTCCTTTCTGAAGTGTTCAAATATCTGGTGCCCATGGGCTGTAGTAGCATCATAAGGTTTTAGAAGTTACACAGTGGGGCCAAACCTGACAGGGGCAGATCACACCTACTGAAAAAGTGATCCAGTTCATTTGCCCACTTTTGTGTCCCTTACAGGCTCTGTTGCTTATGGCCCAGGATGGTTCTGAAATCACTCCACACTTTGTTAACATTGTTAATGAAGTTGCAGCTGAAGATTTTCTGCTTGGTGTTGCAATGTCTTATTAGGACAAGTTTGTGTTTCAGAGGTTCTTGTCTGTGTGTTTGGGCCTCCAGTGAACTTCAGTGTTGAAGCTTCCATCCTCCTTAATGCACACAGCACAGTCCAGAAGCGGCAAACTGTTATCCTTTGCAGAGGTGGGAAGTAACAAAGGACAAATACTTCATTACTGTAGCAACATAAGTACAATTTTCAGTTATCTCTACTTCAGTAGTTTTTACTGACTACTTTTTACTTATCAAACTAAGGAGGACTGCTGCAGGTTAGTGCAAGATAAACTGGTTAGTTTACTGTACTGTGATAGGTTTAAAGTAAAGAACAGTGACAATGAAACCACAGCCACCGTGCACCGAGTTAGGTGACAACAAATGTAGCGGAGATTCAAAAAGAATAGAAATAAAAATTATTGTGAGTTGTGATTCCTTTACCCACACCGAGCTGTTACAACCAATCTCAGGGTTCCCCCGTCTTTACACATTTTCCTATTTAGAGGCAAAGTCATCCTCTACAGTGTTGGCAACAGAAAATAGATATATAGTTTTTATTATCATTCTTTTTCCTCAGACTCAGACTGAGCATAATCGGAATGAAAAAAGTTCGACTAAAGTTTCTTTTCCATCTACTGATAATATTTTATCACTATGTTAGCACAAGATTCAGTTAGCTTTGCACAGAAATAGAAACATACTCCTTTTTACTTTCTTACTCTGAGTACATTTCAAAGCCTGTACGTTTTTACTTTTACTTACTAAAGTAAAGAAGTTAAATCAGTACTTCAACTTTTACTGGTGTATTTTTAACAGAAGTATTTGTACTTCTACTTAAGCACAGAATCTCTGTACTGTTGGTGAAGTCAGTAGAGGTGTGATGGGGCATGTTCACCACAAGCTTAGGTCTCAGACAAATCATATATGATCCAGCATTTTTCAAAGAATGCAAACTTTAGCTGCCATAAAGGGGTAGATTTCCGATCACTGATCTCTCTGTGGATTTGCTGCACGGAGGATGTAACGTCTATGATAAGCACTGAGGTTTGTGTCCTTGTCAGGATTTCCAGGTTGGGAAAAGTGCAACAGAAGATATTCAAATTTATCTCTCCACAGCTGCTGATAAATTGTACAAAAACAAGAAACAGTTTGTTAAAAACACTTCCAGGTGAATTTCACAACTGGTTTATCAGTGATATCAGTGAAAAATGACTGATAAGCGGAACTGGAATATATAGTTTATAATTTCAACAATGTACTATATAAAATGAGATGTGGTGTGTTTCTTATGTGATCTTTAACAGGGTGTTACAACACTTAAAAACGGTACTCATACTTTACCAGACTTTTAAAAGCTAGGTGTGCAGTTCCTAATTTAAATGCATTCATTCTTTAGATTCAGAAATCTAAGCGATCAGATTTTAAAGATAAATAATAATAAACAAAATGAAATCAATAGTGTCCTCTTCAATCTTGGCAGAGGGCAGTAATATAAATAATGAGAGAACTGACAGCTATTATTTTAATCACCCTGTTCTTTTAACTAGAAGTATCAGAAAAGTAATGTGGTAACATCTGGACTGATGTTTGCAGACAGTATTTTAATCACAAGTTTAAAAGCTGCAGTCGTTGCACACACTGTGTATAAAATATAAATATTTTGATGCGCACCACACTTCTAGTACTCTGTAGTATTGTAGTGAGGCACTTGGAAAGTGGTTGTAGGTGATTCATTTGATACTGCTAACAGTGGTTATGAGTGAGACTGATTCCCTATAACTAATGACTGGTTGGGTCACCCATAGCAGCAACAACTGCAATCAAGTGTCTGCTGTTTATATCTGCAATCTCATTCATTTTGTCACTACCCAGAGCTTGTGACCATAGGTAAGGGTAGTAATATAGATTGACGAGTAAATCAAAATTCGCTTCTCTTCACTACAAAAGATCAATACAGCAGCCACGTCACTGCGGACACTGCCCCCAATCCACTGGTAGCTCTCACACTTCATTCTCCACTCTTTTGTGACCATGACCCCAAGATACTTCAACTCTGCCACCTGGGAAATTAACTCGTACCTGACCTGGACTCCTGGGCACTCCTAGACTTGGACAAGGAGGTGCTGATTCTCATTCCCACTACTTCACATTCGGATGCGAACTGCTCCAGCTCAAGCTGCAGGTCACCTGCTTGATGAAACCAACAGAACCACATCATCTGCAAAAAGCATAGATAAAATCCCAAGGCAAATGAAGCGGAGACCGCTGTCCACCATCTGGCAAAACCAGATATTCTGTTCATTAAAAACTATGAACAGTATTGGTGACAAAGGGCTGAGTCCACTGAATCCACATGGACTGTGTCCCCAGGCTCCCTTGGAATGCAATCAAAGCTTTTTGGAGGTAGGAGTCTTAGGGGCCTCTGCTAGGTGTTGTCAGTGCACTCTCACTATGCATTTGGATACACCACATCAGTTCAGCATGTTCCCCTACCTGATCAAAGCCAACACCAAGTACCGATCAGTTGACAGCTCAGCCCCTGTGTTCAATCAATCGAATTCATTTCACTTTGATCTGTGGCAAAATGCAGTGATTTAAGCTTTAATGATTAAATTGATTCAGTTTCACAGCTCTAATGTCACCTTACAAATAAACAGCGTGCACTGAGCATGCACTCAGTCATAAAATAGTGAAATAATAAAATGTTTCTAAATAAATAAAATTGATATTTGACACATTTGACAGGAGCTAAGTTCACTTACTTGCTCTGAATTACCTACTTTTTTTTTCACCTTTACCTTTATGTTCGTTCATGTGGAAAGCTGAGCAAAATAAAGAGAATACAAGAGACACTGGAGGTGAACCTTTAATGTTTAGTGCAGTTTATCAGTTTTTAACTACAAAGAAAAACACGAAATGGCCAAATTCATGCAGGCCAGAAAACAGCAAAACCACAACAACAAGAATAATAACTACAACAATAATAACCACATCATGAATAATAATAATAATAATAATAATAAATATACATAGTCACACACACACACACAAGGTCAGCTGAGTACCAAAAACTGTAACAAACATCAGAAATGGCTTCAGTCTAGGAGTAGTGACGATGGGCGGGGCTACAAAACCTTTATAATTCAGGTAAGTCTGACTCGAGTTCTGATCCTCCGCTGTACCAAACCCTTCGGGTCCCATGTGAGCTGTAAACACTGACCTTTGACTTTCCTTTTCTTTGAACTGGACATGAGGGTCACATAATTTAGGTCTGGTTCTAAAATCAAACTCAACTGTTGAACATGTCACATTGTGCTTTACCGTCAATAGCCAATGAACATTCACCTACTCAAAACACCAAATATTTGACCTAATCATCCAGCGTCTCTTGAATAGGATGAAGTGTTAGGGTCACATTAATAAAAAAAAGTGTCCATTTTTAGATTAAAGTTGAAATGTAAGCTCAAACTTGAAATAGTATTTTAAATTTTAAATAGTCAAAATGTGGAGATTACAGTTATTTCAAGCCAAAAAACTGCCACGGCTCCCATATCCTCTATAAAATGGGTTGTGCAGATAAGTTAGTGAAACAAACAGATGATCCGTCTTATTGTGTTTTGTGATACAACCATTGGTATCTTTGCATCTGTCCATTGCCAGCCATTTCATTTTGCACAAATCCGACCCACTCTT